TCCGACTTATGGGCACATGTATGAGTACAGTTAGCTACTCTGTGTTGATAAAATGGCAGTCCTCATGGGATAATTATCCCAACTAGAGGTATTTGACTGGGGGATCCTCTGTCTGGTACCTCTTTCTTATGTGTGCAAAGGATCTATCAAGGAGCTTGTCTACTGCTATGAATACTGGGCTGATCTCAGGCGGGCAAATTTATTGTTTTGCATGGCCTCAATTGAGGAAGTTCAAAATTTGGCGGGAATTCTTGAGACATTTGAAGAAGCATCATGCCAAGCAATCAATTTGGATAAATCCACGACTTTCTTCAGTTCCAACACATCCTTGGAGATGAGAAATATTTTAAGATTTAGGAATGTCTGGTAATTATTTAGGTTTATCCTCAATTTTGGAGGGGAAGATAGAGGGTAAGATTTCAGGTTGGAAAGGAACCTTGTTTTCTCAAGGTGGTAGAGAAGTGTTTATTAAAAGTGTCTTGCAGACAATACCAAATTATTGTGTGTCTTGTTTTAAGATTCTTGAAATTGTTTGTGACAAGCTACAGAAGATTGCAGGGCTAATTGGTGGGCAGGATGTGAGGATCAAGCCAAAGTCCATTGGGTGAGTTGGAAATAAACTAACTGAGGCAAAAGCAAAGGGTGGATTGAGATTTCATGATTTGGATTGCTTTAATTTGGCACTTCTAGCAAAGCAGTGTTGGAGGCTTCAAGTGGAAGAGGGGGGTTTATTTTTTCAAACTTTTAAAGCCAAATATTTTCCTTTTTGTTCCTTCCTGGAAGGTTAGCGGGGTCTCAACCATCCTGGCATGGCAGAGTTTTCTCGAGGCAAGGCAAATACTTGAGGTTGGTTTGGTTGAGAGTGAGAAATGTAATGCAAATCAAATGTTGGGAGAATTAATGGGTGTTAGGTAGAGGCAAGGTTCAACTTGAGAGTGGATTCTGAGACTTGGTGTGAGATTTTTTCAGAAATGAGTATACTAGCAAAATCTCTTTAAACACTGTTTATATGTTGCTGGAATTATGCAATTGATGTAATTCTAGTTTTCCCTCTTATTTTTTAATCTTAAATTCTTTATAATATTATGCTAATGTTGATTTTCTAATGCAGATAAAAATGGCAGAACCTGAGCTTATCCCTATTTCCAGCGTTCGTGATGTGATCCACAGGGAGTATGAGGGAGGACTTTTTGTGGCTTTGGTTTCCCCCTCCATCACTCCAATTGAGTACAGCAAGGTTATAAAGCGTTCGGAGAATCTTGGAATTGATCTCCTGTATCCCAGAGAGCCACCATGTGCACCCTCTATACCATCACTTTCATTCCACATTTGATTAGGGACATACAAGATTATGATGCACCTGCTGGTGTCCGAGTAGCAATTGAAGTTCCTGATATGTTTGACGGCAAGTTATATGACCACATGGTTGCTGCTGCTTTTAACCACAAATTTGATGTCATAAATGGGAAGCATGCTACAATCTGTGTGAAGAATGGTAAAGCTAATAGAGGTAAGTTCTTTAATATAAAGGTTCTAATATCATAGTTGAAATAATATTTTTGCATCAGTGTTAAGTAAAATTTTTATTAATTGATTTTATTTCATTTATTTTTCTTTATTTTTTAAATGTGAAGATTGGATTAAATGGGGAGTCTTTTCGCTGTGTGCTGTCATAAGTGGTGGTCTGCTAATAGCTGTAATGGATAAAAACCCAATTTTTGGCCAATATTCAATATTAATCTCATTAATTAATAATGTATTATTATTATTATTATTATATATCTAAAAATTAATCAATTTCATCTAATTGTTGTGTGATGTTTTAGTCGAAGCAGCTGAAAACTACGTGGTAGAGAACCTGAAGGTGCGGCTGATGGTTCTGGTGGTATCCAATATCTAGGAACTTCAATTGCTACTCAGACACCAGCAGGTGCATCATAATCTTGTATGTCCCTAATCAAATGTGGAATGAAAGTGATGGTAGAAGGTGCACATGGTTGCTCTCTGGGATACAGGAGATCAATTCCAAGATTCTCCGAACGCTTTATAACCTTGCTGTACTCAATTGGAGTGATGGAAGGGGAAACCAGAGCCACAAAAAGTCCTCCCTCATACTCCCTGTGGATCACATCACGAACGCTGGAAATAGGGATAAGCTCAGGTTCTGCCATTTTTATCTGCCGGAAACTTTCATGACCACTGGAGACTTGCCGGTGACGTTGTTGAGCTCCAAAGATGAAGAGATCTGCGAGGTGGTCACGAAAGTTTCCTTCAGAAGGAAAAAGGAAACTTTTGTTAAACTGTCCTTAGAAGGAAAAAGGAAAATACTTTGTCTGACCTACTCAGTTGGCACTCCGCTGACTAATTCAAGCTTAGTATCATCAAAACCATTTTATATGGTTATTTGTATCATCAAAACCCTTTTGGGGCTCGTTTGTCATGCGTTATGATATTATTTTTTTGATATTGATATTCATTTTTGGGACGGCTAATATTGGTTTAGAATAGTTCATAACATATTAGATTTTTTTGGCTGAAACTCATGTAACCAAATTGGTAATATTGTGTGTTTTGACATTGTAACAAGAAACTAAAGTAAAATTTTAAATTTCTCAAAACAAATTTTTGTTACTAATTATGGTTCCGATTTTTACTTAACATATTGTTATAACAAAACAGTTATTTTGATATTTGTAAAAAGCGCCAATACATCTCATTACAAAAGGGTCCTTAATTGAAGGAAAAAAACCACCAACACCACCCATCCATCACCCTCCATGCTTGCCCGCCTTAATCCCACTTGAATAATTCTCCTTGAAAGCTTCGATCAATTAAAAGCATGTTGATGATCCATTAGGAATTCTCTCTTCTTGTGCTAGTCCATGTACTGTACGGTGTTTTCGATGTCATGGAAGATTGCTTGAAAAAAGCCCACAGTACACAGAGAGAGAGAGAGAGCAAGAACAGCGACGAAGATCTGATAGAACGAGCAAGAATCGTCGAGATCGAGATTGAGGTCATTGGCAGCTCTTTCTCCGTCATAGCGTGTAGTGGCGCCAGCTCCTTTGACGGGAGTGAAATTCTAATATGGCAAGTTTGCAACAGACAAATGGGGAGTGGGTGTATATAATATATGGAGAGAAAGTGAGGAGAGAGAGAGAGAGAGAGTGGTGGTGTTTCGCGGTGAGAAATGGTGGGCGGGTGGATGGTGGTGTGACAGATGATTTTTGAGAAAGATAGTAATTAGTATAATTATAGATAAGGACTAATTTGGACCCAAATGGTGTTAAATACAAAATTACTAGTGTATAAATTCCTCCTACCCCACTACCACGACCACCTCCCCCAATTAATCATACCACAACACACAACACTGCCACCCACCACCACCACATACTGCCACCCATCACTGGGTGGAGGTGGTGGTGGAGGTGGTGTGGTGGGGGAGGTGGTGGCGGGATAGAGGTGACAGTGGCGATGGGGTGCTGATAGTTCATGGTTAATTTTTTTTTTTTTTTCTTTAAGAATGTACCTAATATAGTCATTTCATAATTAATGGCTAATTAAAATAATGTTATTTTTCAAAAATAATTATTCTCCCCCGTAGCCATTAGATTAGATCTTAACGTTATGAGTAAAAGTGAGTATATTCACACGTGATGAAAAATAAATGTTAACATTTATTTTGGATATTTAATCCATTAAAAAAAGTTATAAAATCCCCTGAATTTTGCAATTATAAATATATATAATTTTTAATTATCAATATGAAATCATAAGAATGAAGTTACTAAAAATTAGAAATCAATCAGAAAAATAAGTATTTAACTTTGACTTTTCATACATATTCAACATTTTATTATAACAACAATGGCAAGTGTATTGTGTTAGTCGTATTTTATATATTGAAGGAAGATATAAATGGTTTTGAGAAAAGATAAAGAGCTTAGACAATTATAGTGTACTAAAAAAAAAAAAAGAAAGAAAGAAAAAAAATTAGGTGCTGCATGGTGTTCAAGTAGTATGTTTGTGGAAGAATATGAACATGTGTCACCTGTTGAAGTTAAAATGAGTGGAGGTTGTTTTGCTTCCTATGTAATGGGGTGGTAGTAGCATAATGTGTTTTTTAGGTGATATATTTATGGTGTTTTCTCTTGACAAATATGAAAAATGTGGAACTTACACAGCCATCTGATCTGTTGCTCTTCCTTCATAGGATCTATAGTTATTGTTTTCTCATCTTGTATCTGCTGGTGGCGTTTCATTAATTCTGGTTTTTTAGGAATGACACTTTTAATCAACTCGGTCCCTACAAATGACTAGATACCATTTTCTAAACGGTTTGTATAAATGAGTGCCTTTGCCTGTTAATGTTCACAGATTCGAAGGGTTATTAATTTGGTGGACTAGGATGGATTTTGATTACATGAAAATATCATTTTTGAGAGCTCAACAAAGAAGTTTGAGGTTGGTTGTTTTATCATTAAATATTACAAATTGCACCCTGTAATAATACTAATATGTCGTCCTAATTCATTTAAGTGACATCTGCAGATATTATTATTCAAAGACCTATGCTTGATCCACGTACCATGATCAAGCAAAACCTTGGAATAGGGGTAGTAGCAAAACCTTGGAAGCAAAACCTTGGAATCTCAATAAGAACGACGCACTACATTTATTATTCAAAAACCTATGCGTTTACGCTTGTTAGTGTCAACCGGTCAATTAGGTTCAGTTAAAAATTATAATCTAATTATGTTAACAATAGTAGTGACTATTGTAATACATCATCGTTGAAAGAAAACATTACGTTGGGCTCTTTGAATACAAGATAGATATAGAGTGAATGAATGAGCTAAAAAGCCACGTGCATGGCAAAGATTAGATGTTCTGATACGGTGTATTAGATTGAATATGTACTCTTCACTAACTTAGCAGATCTGACTATTGCTCTAATGAATAAACTTGGCCTTTTGCTCTAATGAATGGAATGAACATGAGGCAAATGTACGAATTTAATTAATCAAAAAGTGATGCATCAAACCTCTCTGTCTAACTACAATACTTATTTATTTTGTACAACTGATCACAAACATCTAAAAATTATTCTTCACAACCCTTTTGACAAGCTTGTAGCCATCCCTGTGTTCCATAATGTAAGCTACCATTTCTTTCATAATGCTTGTGGATTCACCTTATACCTCTTTTTGTACGTCCTCACCTCACTTGTCTGGAGATCTGATAAAAAGTCAAGTTACAAATCAGATTTAAGTTGAGCAAAAAATGAACATGGATGATGAATGCAAATTAGTAATTAAACCTGCTTCAGACTCCGTTAATTTCTGATCTGCAATACAAGAAAGAAGCTCACCTTTATCACCAGTGGAAGCAAAGCCATTAAGCTTCATTCTCAAACCATATATGAACAGGGACAGACCAATAGAGTAGTACTGAAAACAATGAGGAGGAGAGGATAAGAAACAAACAGCTAGAATAATAATATTATTGATTGTTCATTCATGAGAGAGAGAGAGAGAGAGAGAGAGAGAGCATTTACCCTTTCTTACTAGGAGTATTCTTTTGATACTATGCTCTTCATCAATGTTTGATTATTTCATCAAATGTATGTGTTCGCGCGGCAGATGCAGTACTTTTTCCAGCGATGAGCACCCCCTGATGTCCAGTTCCTCCAAGGCTTCCAAAGCCTCAAGGCCCTCAATCTCACGTAAACTCTTGCAACCATAGAGCAGCAAGTGTCTCAACATTTTCAAGTTTGATAGATTCGGCATTCTTACCAGGGATGAGCAATGCGTCAAATCCAAATATTCCAATGATACCAATATATGTAGTCCTTCGATCTTATTGAGATTCTTGCAATTAGTAACTCCAATTGTTTTTAACTTGTTTAAGTTGGACCCATCTGGTTTATTTTCAGGGTACAACATTTTCAAGTTTGATAGCTTCGAGCAAAACGACAAAACCAAACATTCCAATGATACCAATAAATGTAGTCCTTCGATCTTTTCGAGCTTCCGGCATTCAAGAACTTCAAAGCTTTTTAACTTGTTTAAGTTGGACCGATCTGGTTTATTTTCAGGGTGTTTGTACCTCCTCATCTCTGAGGATGTTAGAGGTGCCGAACATTCAAGCAGATCAAGTTTAACTATTTTATAGCACCATCGCATACAAAAACTTGCCAGCGATACTAGATTTCCAAGTCCTCGAATCTCTCTCAGCTTCCCGCACCCATCTATTCTCAAACTTTCCAGCAATTCTAGATTTCCAAGTCCTTCAATCTCTCTCAGTTCAATGCATTGTTCTATTATCAAACTCGTCAATGATTGTAGTTTCCCAAGCCCTTCAATCTTTGTCAGCTTTTCGCACTCATTAAGCCGCAATTCCGACAAGAGCTTCAGATTTGACAGATCTGGTAGTATTTCCAATGCCGGAACATCAACAATATATAATCCAACCAGGTTGGGAGGTAAACCCAATATACATTGAAGTTCAATGAATGATTCTAGATTGAGGAATTTGAGCTGAGAAAGGGCATCAATCTCTTTCGGTAGCGTCATAACGTTGCTACATCCAAAGTCCAATCTCTGCAATTTGGATAATTCAACAATATCCTTGAAAATTATCTGATTCATGTTTTCAGGAATCTCATTACACCGTAGGACTTGCAGATTAACCAGATTTGCAAGATTAGGGGTAACATGAAAACTCCCCAACTCTACACGTAAAACTTGTAAACTTGAGGGAAGCTCTGGCAGTGCTTCGAGATCAACGCATTGTCCTAGGTCAAGGGTATGAATGCTTGTTGGTAGGCTTCGAATTCCTGTAGATCGAATAAAAGCTGCTTAAGTATATGATCAAACATGATAATCAATCTCCCAATGCAACTTGGAATGTTACCTGTCAATCTAGAATCACGTGCATCTATAATTTCCAGCTTATTTAACATCCTAATTTCATCAGGTAGCTCCCGTATTTCAGTGTTTGAAATGTCAAGCACTTTTAAGTTACTTGCCATCTGTTAACAAGATATATAAAAATATAGAAACAATCATACATGCTCCAATATGTATGTATGTTTGTATGTATGTAATGGGAGATGAGAAATGAATTGAGATTATGAGACTATGAGATTTTAAAATGTATGTAGTATATACCTTAATTTGACTCCAACCCTTCCAGTTCTCTGGGATCGTACTACCACTTAGATCAAGTATGACTAGTTTCTTCATATGAAAATTGGTTGCTTCAAAATGCAGAAGGGAATCTCGCCAACAAAGCCATCTTAAGTTTAACAAGCGATTCTTGAAATCCCCAACAACAACTTCAGCTTCATCTATTTGGAGATACCGCAGTTTAGATCGTTCTGCGAATTTGTCATTCTCAAACGTCTTTCCAGCAGCATCAAGATTTAGGAGTTGGACCTTTTCAGTTACCTGTCAGTGAAAAAACCATAAAAATAAGTAAACAAATAAAAGAAATGATTTGCCCCGTGCTAAAAAAGGAATTATTAATATTAGATATCAATTATTATTCTTACTTTTTTAAAAAATACCTATTTTTAATGACTTCTCAGAAACAGTTATTGGTGTTTAAGATAATTTTTGCTTTTATATATAAAATAAAGGTCATTTTTTTGAGTTAAGATTGGGTTAGATTCAGGTTGATTGATTCAAACATTCAGAACTCTTTTTTTTTTCTTCTTCTTCTTCAAATTCTGCTTCATTTTTTATTTTTATTCTTTTTTCATTTATAGCAATTCTAAATAACTTGAAATAATTAAAAGATCATGCATAACATTGTAGCCTACAACTTAATTACAAATGCTACACCAATCTAAATGTACAACATGCCTACTTTCCGTTGTAACCAGGTTTACTAGCTAGTAACAAGAACATCAAAACTCTTTTCTTAACCCCCAAAAAAGATAATGATAGTTTGGTCGGATGACAATGAGATGAGTTAAAACTTTTGATTTTGATTTTGATTTTTTATTAGATAAATACTCACCTCACACCTTTAAATAATTTAAATTGAGTTCCATTTTCAATTTAAATCCGAGCTGACAGTTGTCCAAGCCCATCATAGATGATGCAAATTCAGGTTGGTCAACAACTTAGCTCCATAATTGGAACCTATGCGGATGCTACCATGAATATTATTTAGAGCATGTGTATTATGAGATGACATGAAAGAGACTTAAGAAAACATTAATCAATGCAAAAATTTTAGTGCTGTAAATTTTTACCATGCATTCCTCAAATACAGCCGAGGCTTCTTGTCGATCCCACAACCTGCTGCGCAGTTCTGGATTCTCAAAATCTTCTTGACGGACGATTTCCCTACCCAAATCTCTTAGTTGATCATGCATTCTCAATACATTATCATTTTCAAGTTTTACTAGAGACATGAGACAAAGGACATTAATTTCCGTCTCCGGAAAATAATCACAGTCATCCCACATGTAAAATGGATATGTTTTATCCATCCCAATAAAAAGACATGCAATATCAAGAAATATCTGTTTTTGCTCATGGGTTAATACATCATAACTTACTCTCAATTTTTCCTGAACTTCATGATTTGGTATTTTCTTCAACTTCTTCCATGTATCTTCCCATACTGTTTTTGGCTTGTCAGATAGAAATGAACCTATAACCTCAAGAGCTAGAGGAAGCCCTGCAGTAACTGACACCACCTCTCTACAGATACTATCAAAGTCCATTGGAGGAAACTTTTTCCGAAAAGCATGAAAGCTGAGAAGTTGAAGAGATTGGTATGGGCTCATAAATGGAGGTTCGTAAGTCTCATCCACTTCAAGAATATTTAAAACATGCTTGTTTCTAGTTGTAACTATGATCCTAGAACCTGGACCAAACCAATCACGGTTTCCCACAAGCCAATCAAATTGAGACTTTTCATCCACATCGTCAAGAACAATGAAAACTTTCTTATTGGGAAATCGACTTTTGATAGCGTTCTTTCCATCCTTAACACTAGTAATGGGAGGGTGCGGCTTAAGAGTGTCGTTGAGAAGCTGATTCTGCAAATCAACAATACCTTTATCTTTGTATTGTTTGACATTTTCCCGAACATCTGCAAGGAAGCTACAACAATTTTTAAAGTCATGGAGGAGCTTGTTGTAGATGGACTTGGCAATAGTTGTCTTGCCAATACCACCCATGCCAAGGATACCAACAATCCTTACATCTTTTGAACCAACATTTAATAATCTCATCATTTCATTCAGATGATCATCCATCATAACTAAGTTGTCAAATGTAACCATGCATTTTTTCTTCAGGTTCAACGACACTGTTTGAACAATCGTTTTGACTAATTCCCCATGCCTGATTAATGTCAAGATGAAAATGAAAAAATAATTAGTGACCGAGACGTAAACAAGCAGCTAAAATAATGATTGATGTGTTCTACCTTAGGGACGAGTAGTTGACTCATGAAACCAACATTTATCATGTTGTTTTTCTTCTCATAATTTTGTGTTTGTCCCTCTAATTTGATAGTTTTTATTGGATTCCAATGCTATTATAAAGTTCCTATATATATATATATATATATATATATGCAAATTAAGAATTTAACATAAGGGGGTTATTAGCAGGAAGGGATTAACATACCGATCAGCTTCTTTGTTGACATGCCAACCCTTGAGTTCTCCAACCTGTTTGAGTGCCTCTTTCCATTTCATAACAGTGCATTCATCAAAACACCTCTCGTGCTTGCGAAAGGCTTCCTCGTAACTCCCAGATTGATGCCTCACATCCCATGGTTCAACATCATAGAAGATTGGCAGAATCAATTGTCCAGTGCTTCTCTTGCAATCCACCATCTGAGCCAGCTCGCGGAGGCACCATTTACTGGAAGCATAGTTGTTGGAGAAGATGGGGATGGAGATACTGGACTCCCTGATTGCTTCGAGGAGCTCAGGGCCGATCTCTTCTCCTTTGCGAAGCTCATTGTCATCCCGAAAGGTGCGAACACCTGCGTCAATGAGACAGGTATATAGAAAATCTGTGAATGTGCAGCGAGTGTCTGGACCTCTAAAACTCAAAAACACTTCGTATTCGCCTCCTGGAACAGGAACGGAGGTGGCTGAAGCATCAGACTCCATTTCAGATATAATCGTCCTCCTCTTACTTGGACCAGCAGCCTCACTATCCATTTCAGATATAATCTCCTGTGTCTTTTCTGCTCGATCGATCAGAAACACAATATTGTGGAAGATAAATCTTGTACGAGTATTACCAACCCTATGAAACCAAACTCAAATCTCTCTAACTCACTTCAGTGTTTGGCCTTTGGATCTGCAAATTGAGACATTCAAATACCCAAATTATATTTGCAAATCTCTCTCGATCGATCGATGATGTTTGGGAAATGGATCTGCAAATTCTCTAGCTGGAATTGGAAAATGATAGGAACACAACCCATACACCCAAATTAACTTTCCCAGTCAAGTCAACATGACAATATATCAATTATAAATTAAAATAAACACAATAATTTTAATTAGTAAATCAATTATAAATTAAAACAAATTTAAAATATATGGCACATCCCAACCAATTTATATTATTTAATAAATAGAATAATTGAAATGTAAACCTCTTTATTAACATCAAACTTTGGTGATTCTACTCTAGGCCAGAGTCCAAGTTTAATAGTCTACTAATAAAAACAAATCACAAACTTGTTCTCCAACTACTAATAAAACTAAACATTTAATTACAAGATTCACTACCAAACCCATCTACAATAATTACATCTAATGCAGAAGACTTTCTCTTGCTTATTTTCCTATCCAAAACTTAAAAATCTAGACACAGCCAGTGGCCATATCAGCATAATATATATATATATATATATATATATATATATATGACAATTTCAGTTTAATTTCTTTAATATCATCTTCAAGATTCACTACCAAACCCATCTACAATAATTACATCTAATGCAGAAGACTTTCTCTTGCTTAAACTCAAAAATCTAGACCCAGCCAGTGGCCATATCAGCATAATATATATATATATATATATATATATATATATGACAATTTCAGTTTAATTTCTTTAATATCATCTTCAAGCTTTGTAGGTCTTATATTCCTACTTTCTTTCTCGATCCGAGTATGTACCTTTTATAATTTCATGATGAGGTACCTTCATGCTTTATAAGCATTTTCATGTCAAGTAGACTTATTCATGCCTTAGAGGCATCTTCATGTCCAATATACATCTTCTATACTTCAATATATACATTTAAGTATAAAACTTCTAATAAATTCTTTCCCTTACCTTTTCCAAAAACAAGATCCTCCCTCCCTCCTCTTTATTCTTATCTTAAACAAGTCACGATAGTCTCTATTTCTCTTTTAACCTCCCGTTCTCTATCATCTTTTCTATATACAAGGCTTTTGGTTGTATTTTCCTAACTCCATCAATATCTATGCTTACATATATATATATATATATATATATATATATATATATATATTCTATTCCAATCATTATTATTGCAGTAAAAGTTGTATACCTTGCAATCACATTTTCGTCCATCTTAATTCCATGGCCAAAAAATATTCATTTTTTGTGCAAAATATTTCCCCAATAGTGAGAATATGCAAGAGGAGAGGGATGGAGGATTTTTTTTTTTGAAAAAAAAGAGGCAGAGATAACAACCTAAATATTCCAATTTGGTCCAAATCTCTTAAAGTTCAGGCCAAAACTAATAAAACTACTCTTTTTAACTTCTTCAAATCTCACAGATGCGTCCTTGTCCAAGGTTTTTGGAATCACTCATCTCCAAATAAGGATGGTAAAGATGCAAGCTGTTTGAAGCATGTTAAGGTTAGACATCTTATTTATAGGCAGATATTATCCAAACTGCTCAATGATTCTAATTTTCCAAGGCCTCAAAAATCTTTCCAGCTTAGTGTAATTCCATCTCAAGGGATAAAATCAACAAAATTTTTCAACTCGGACAGATATGACAATCTTTCCAATGGCTTACAAATAATACAGAGATAAATTAACTAGATTTGAAGGTTAGCAAAAGATAGATTGAAGATGGTTATGTCAAGTAGTTGATGGAGGGCACCAATCTCTTTGTTGTTTAAGTAACCGGGCCATCAGTACTTTGCCCTATTAAATTTGCGGGATACTGTGCAAAGTGTACCTTCACACGAATTGGATAAAAGTCGAATTTTTATCTGCGACATGATCCCAATTAATTGTTTTACATGATATTTTATGAGACACTAAGTTCATATAAATTATCACACAAGTTAACTCTTAGGATTCACCAATCCCTTTTTGCCATGTCGTAATTCTTAAATATTGGCAATTGAAAAGTGAACATTTTCATCTCATTTTAGAAAAATCCTTAAATGATCGGACAAAGTATCACTTATTAATTAAACCTCAATTTGAGGTTTGTTTATTCACAAGTGGCCGCACTTTGATTGGGAATGGGAAAGTGATTTCCAGCTCCGTTAGGGGATGAGCATTGACCAGCATCACCTATTATAATCAAATCAATGTATTAGCCGGCAAATAATTGTCCTAAACAAATTCATAAAAGAATAGACTTGAGGTCCCACCATGATGAACAAAACCATATACTGTAGAGAGTGACTTTAAGAATAGCTTCAAAATGATATTCTGCTGTTACTATTTTATTTAGATGTTATATAAAATAATAATGGTTTATGTGTGAAATCATGGATGAATAATAAATTTAATCACGTCAATATTAAATGTTGACGTTGTTGTCCATGGAATTGAAATTGAGGTGTGGACATGAGGTTTGTTTATTCACAAGTGGCCATGTTTTGATGGGTAATAAGAAAGTGATTTGTAGCTTCATTATGGGGTGATTCACCCAGCATTACCTACTCTACCAGAAAGTAAAATTAAATTAATGTATTAGCCACTAAATAATTGTTCTAAACAAACTCACATGTGAATACACTTGAGGATGAGGTGGGGTGGCCACCCTATTGATCATTGATTGATAAAAACAAAAAATAAATAAATAATACGAAGAGAACCATTTCTATATAAATAACTAGCTTAAGAAGACAAATCACCTTATTTTTATATAAAAAAAATTCACTTTTATTTTTTTATCCGTCTTTTGGTGAGTAGTGCTTATCACCATTTTCGCCGTTATTAACCCAAATCTATATAATTAATTAAAACGTAATCTATTATGGATGAAAGAATAAATGATAAAAGAATATTGAATATTAACAGGGAAGATAATATTTAATTTTTAATCACTTTATATTATGGTATTTGAGAAACTCTAATCTTTACATATGAATTACTGAACTTCTTTGGTAATTTCTATAAATTCTCGAAATGGCATTCGTTTAATAAAAACAAACCACAAACTTATTCTCCAAGTACTAATAAAACTATGAAAGTGGCTAGAAAGAGAGACCTTTCAAAAAAAAAAAAAAAAAAAAGAGAAAATTTTATTTTTACTATTATATATTTTTAAAATTTTGTTATTTGGGTATTTTAGACATTTCAATGGCTAAATTGACCTAATGTCCTTATTTGCACAAATTGTAAAATGTAGGGGAATTTTTTAAACAATAAAGAATTAATTACACATTTTATATATTATGAAAGGTTTTTTTTGCACTTAACCCTTATTTAAACCTCATTTTAAGGTTTGTTTATTCACAAGTGGCCGCGCTTTGATTGGTAATAAGAAAGTGATTTGCAGCTTCATTATGGGATGAGCATTGACCCAGCATCACCTACTCTATTAGAAAGTATAATTAAATCAATGTATTAGCCACTAAATAATTGTTCCAAACAAACTCACATGCACGGGCGTATCTAGGGTAGGTTGGGCTCCAACCCACCCCAAAAAATAAAATAAAAATTTATTACTATGGGTAATTTTAACCCAGCCCAAAATATATATATATTATTATTAGTATAAGCCCACCTAAACAAGCCCAAATCAGTTAAGTCACAATACTAAAATAAAGGCCAAGCCAAACAAGCCCTAATAAAAAAAATTGCTTAAGAAATTATTTTATTAAATTTATGTCTAATTTTAGCCCACCCCATTGACAATTTCTAAATCCGCCCTTGCTCACATGTGAATACACTTGAGGATGATGTGTGGTGGCCCCACCCTATTGATCATAGATTGATAAAAACAAAAAATAAATAAAAAATACGAAGAGAACCATTTCTAAATAAATAATTATGTCGACTTGACTTACTTGAAACCAAACCACCTTATTTTTATATAAAAGTTTTTCACTTTTTAATTTTATTTTTTATTTATCTTTTGGTGAGAAGTGCTTATCACTATTTTTGCCGTTATTAGCCCAAATCTATATAATTAAAACCTAATCTATTATGGATGGAAGAATAAATGATAAAAGAATCTTGGATATTAACAGGGAAGATGATATTTAATTTTTAATCACTTTATATTATCGGTATTTGAGAAACTCTAACCTTCCTAATTGAATTACTGAACTTCTTTGCTAATCTCTATAAATTCTCCAAATAGCACTCACTTAATATTTTCAATTCACTTCACTCCTCTACCTTTTAGCTCATTTATATTTGGTCCCCCAACAATCATTGGACATACCAATACAAAATAAAAGTAGAAAGTAAAATTAAGCAGATTATATTGAAGCCACTATTTGAAGAAATAAATCATAAGTGACTTTTGATTTCTAAAATAATTGAACTGCTTAATATGTGTGTTTGGCAGATGCAATAGTTCTTCTAGTGGTATGCATGTACCCTATCACATTCAGTAACTCTATTGTTTTCAATTTCACGTAATTTTTATGCAATTAACAAGTTTGTCAAATTGAGTAATTTTATTAAGGCTATGCAATATTCCAATGATTCCAATTTGTTTAAAGCTTTATCGAGTTCAGGACAACAAGTTACAACTAACTTTTTTTACTTTTTCAAGTCTGTTTCACATATAAGTTAGGTATTTGGACTCACTCATCTCCTAAAGATGCCAATTGTGGCCAAATTTATTTTGTAATAAATAATTTTTAGAAACATATAGCTATGAACTTATAGAAACTTTGATGGATTCTTCAATTACAAGGCAGTCACAAATAGGGGACAGATCAGACTCGGATGAAGAATTCCATGAATAGGTATGTAGCAACACTTGATTTCACCACCTTCCGAATCTTCCATATTATTATATGAAATTGTAGAATAGTATGAAAATTGCATTCTGTGTGTGTTTCTCCCCTTAATGTTATATATAAATACGATGGGTCTTCAAAACCCTAACAACATAATTATCACCAAGACTTCGAAGAATTCCAAACACTTAGGAGCTGAGTAATGATTTGTAACAGTGTAACTCAGTCAGAAAAAATAAAAGGGTTCGTGTGAAAGTTTCTTCTTCTAA